GAACGGAAAATGTCTCAACCTAAGAGCATCTTCGGACACATTCGCCTGCTTGCTACCCCAACATGTATCCACGAACCCTTTTAGATATTTGTAGGTATTTTGATCCGCAGCGCTCGTGAAATACCCACGCTGCTCAAGTAAGGTCAACATCACATTGGTTATTTGAAAATTGCCCGCCCGGATTCTAGGAGGGACAATAGCACTCGCATACCCTTGATTTGGTAGCACCCAAGGAACCGCTCTTGGAGGTGGCGGAGGAGGGTCTGGAACGTTGTCATTAGCATTGTCCTGGCGGCCTCGTCTTGGTCCGGGAGGTACAAGAGGTACCTCATCCTCTCCAATTTCATCTACCTCCTCCCCGCAAGCACATTTCCAAGAGGGTCATTAGCATTTAAAGCCATTGAGTACTTGTAGTAATCATACACACAAATTAGTAATAAGGAAGGAAAGAAGAACAACACACAAAACTAACTAAATAGATAGCCAAAACCGTTAGCTCGCCGGCAACGGCGCCAAAAAGTTGATCGCTACCTACTCCGCACCAATAAAAGGTAGCGAGAGAGGGTCGCAATAGCTTTTACCCGATTTGTGGGTCGGGATCGAATCCACAGAGAGCTAGGATTGGAGTTGAGTATCTATCTAGTCTAGAATCGTGTAATTGTTCCAAATGTCACTCCCAACATTTTTGGGTTTTCTCTTATAAACTACTATTATAAAACTACTAATTAGAATTGAAACTAGATTATGCTAAGAGATAATTGTTAAGAGTTGTATCTAATGGATTAAGGGGCACTAGGGTAGTGACTTTCACCTAGGTGGCTAATTGACGGGTAATTGCTTCTAAAGCTTGATTGACATGATTGGGGAAATATGTATAACCGTTGCACAATTTTACCCACTCTCACACCTCTCGGTAGAGAGAGTGATTTTTCCCAATTAACTCTCTCGAGACCAAATGTGTAGGCAAATTAGCTCAAGCAACTAGGGTTTAAGTCGGGTAATTACTCTCTCGAGGTTTAACCCTTTAATTGGGACTATCAATTCTCTTGAGTCCATCCCAATTCCTTGTTGGGTCAATTTTGGAGACGTAGGCTCTCTCTGTCAAGAAGAGCCAAGTCAACTTAGCACAAACTAGTGTTTGCAACCACCAATTCATAAATTAAACCATAAAATTGACCCAAATACAAACAGCCAGAGTCAATCTAACCCTAAATCACAACACCCATCAATTACCCACACTAGGGTTGAGCCACAACCCTAGCTGATGGGTTTAGCTACTCATGCTTGAACAAGAAAATAGAGAAATAGATGAAGAGAAAGACATATTAATTAATTACTAAAGAAAATACAGGGAATCTATCGTTAGAGTTAAGCTAAAATGCCCAAAATGGCTACAAAATAGCTTCTCACGAGCGCAATTGCTGAAATAAAATAACTACTGCCCTAAAAATGGAAAAAGGTTCTATTTATATTAAGCTGGAAAAACTGGACAAAAATGCCCCTACGGGGTCAGTGCGGGCCGCACAAAATGGACTGTGGCCGCACTAGGCTCTTGGACTTCAAATCCTGGCTCTCTGAACTTGGGCTCCGCGGACCGCGCAGAGTGGACCGTGGCCGCGGAGGCAGCTAGCGCGGTCCGCAAAAATATGACCGCGGACCGCATGCTTTGAACCTTGGTAATTTCAACTCTCTGAAGTTCTCTTCCGCGGACCGCACATAATGGCAGTGCAGTCGTGGAGCCTTCACCGCGGACCGCACAATGTGTACTGCGGCCGCGTTTCTTGAAGCTTGGTTTTGCCATTCTCTGAATCTACCTAGTGCGGACCGCACAGAATGGACTGCGACCGCACTAGGTTTTATGCCTTACAATCTGCTCTCTGAATCTCCCTAGTGCGGACCGCACAAAGTGTAGTGCGGCTGCACTAGGCCTGTTTGTCCTGAGTTTGCCTTATTTTTGGTACTTGTGCAGATTTCACTCCTTTTGAACCGATCTTTGATATTTCATCACTTTGTCGATCAAACCTACAATCAAGCACAACCTATGAGCCTTTTGGGACTATTTTGTAACAATTTATAATCAAAGCGTAAGCAAGAAGGGGGATAGAACACGTCAAAATCCCTGGTTATCAATAACTAAGTCACATATCCCTGCAGAGAATGTGCCTATCCGAATTGATGTCCCAGTAGGACCATCTACTAGCATGAGAGCTAGTGAACCTAAAGCACGCCTGAAGCGTGGTAGGCCTTTGGGTTCTAAGGATCGAAATCCTCGAAAAAGAAAATCGACAGATGATCAAAATGATACTATGAAGGGATCTCCTGAAGAGACCCAAGATCTAATTAGTTTTGAGATTCCTGAAGAAATCAATGAACCCAAAGCTCATGTGAGTGAAGAACTTTTAATAAGTTCGACCGGTGATGGGATTAATTTGAATCGATCTGAAATAGTGGTGGATAATATTTTTGCTTATAATGTTGCACTTAATATTATGCAAGATAGTGAGGATCTTGAACCTCGATCTGTCGAAGAATGTCGACAAAGATCTGATTGGCCAAAATGGCAAGAGGCAATTCAATCGGAATTAAAGTCACTTGCTAAAAGAGAGGTCTTTGGACCAGTAGTCCAAACACCTGCTGGTATAAAACCAGTTGGTCATAAATGGGTTTTTGTGCGAAAAAGGAATGATAAAAATGAAGTTGAAAGATACAAAGCTCGCCTTGTTGCACAAGGATTCTCACAACGACCTGGGGTCGATTTTGATGAAACATATTCACCTGTTATGGATGCCATAACATTTCGATATCTCATCAGTTTAGCACTACATGAAAAGCTTGAGATACATCTAATGGATGTAGTTACAGCTTATCTGTACGGTTCACTTGATAATGAAATTTATATGAAAATCCCTGAAGGATTTAAAATGCCTGAAGCAAATTCAAAATCTCAGGAAATTTATTCAATTAGATCACAAAAATCTTTGTACGGTTTAAAGCAATCCGGGCGCATGTGGTATAATCGCCTTAGTGAATATTTGCTGAAAGAAGGTTACATAAATGATGTTATTTGTCCATGTAAATTTATAAAGAAAATGGCATCAGAATTTGTTATACTTGTTGTTTATGTTGATGACATAAATCTTGTTGGAACTCCAGAAGAGCTCCAAAAGGCAATTGAATATCTTAAGAAAGAATTTGAGATCAAAGATCTTGGAAAGACAAAACTTTGTCTTGGTCTGCAAATTGAACATTTAGCAGACGGGATCTTTATCCATCAATCTGCCTATACAGAAAAGGTCTTAAAACGCTTTTACATGGACAAAGCGCACCCATTGAGTACACCAATGGTTGTTCGATCACTTGAAGTCAATAAGGATTTGTTCCGACCTCCAAAAGAGGACGAGGAACTCCTTGGTCCCGAAGTACCCTATCTCAGGGCAATTGGTGCACTAATGTATCTTGCTAATGCTACAAGGCCTGACATAGCATTTTTTGTTAATTTACTAGCAAGATATAGTTCTTCTCCTACACGGAGACATTGGAAAGGGATTAAGCATATATTGCGATATTTAAAGGGAACTCTTGATATGGGTTTGTTTTATGCTAACAAAGATAGTGCAGATCTTGTTGGTTATGTAGATGCAGGTTATTTATATGATCCCCATAAAGCTCGATCTCAAACCGGGTACGTATTTACATATGGAGGTACTGTCATATCATGGCGCTCCACAAAGCAATCTATTGTTGCTACTTCTTCAAATCACACTGAGATAATAGCTATTCATGAAGCAAGTAAGGAATGCGTATGGTTGAGATCAATAATTCATTTATTCGAGAAAAATGTGGTTTGGAATGTGAGAAAAGACCCATAATTTTATACGAAGACAATGCTGCATGCATAGCCCAATTGAAGGGAGGATTTATAAAAGGAGATAGAACGAAGCACATTTCACCAAAATTATTCTACACACACGACCTTAAGAAAAATGGTGATATTGATGTGCAACAAATCCGTTCAAGTGATAATCCAGTAGATTTATTCACTAAATCTTTGCCAACTTCAACTTTTGAGAAGATGGTATACAATATTGGAATACGAAGACTCAAATATTTGAAACAAGGTTTTCATCAGGGGGAGTAAAATACGCGATGCAATTTTTTTTCCTTACTAAGGTTTTTTCCCATGAGGTTTTCCTTATAAGGTTTTTAATGAGACACATAGCAATGCGTATTACTAAATATGTGTACTCTTTTTCCTTCACTAGGATTTTTTCCCACGTGGTTTTTCCTAGTAAGGTTTTGATGAGGCACATTATCTTTTAATGAACATCCAAGGGGGAGTGTTATAAATATATTATATTATGGATGTCCATTTAGTACTCCGTTATAAATAAGCTTCCTGAAGAAGCTTATCCATATGGGACTCCGCCGTAAATATGTTTATCCATTGAGTACTCTATTGGAAATAAGCTTCCTGAAGAAGCTTATCACTTCGGTACTCGGTTATAGATAAACATTGCCCCCGGTAGAAGATTATCCATACCGGGTATAATAAGCTTATCACTTCGGTACCTGATTATATATAAACATTACCCCGGTAGAAGATTATCCATACCGGGTACAATGAGCTTATCCTTTCAGTACTCCATTATGGATAATCATTGCCCCTAGTAAAAGATTATCCATATCTGATATAATAGGAGCTTACACAACAGCTTGCAGTAGCAGCTTACACAGCAGATTGCAGTAGCAGCTCACACAGCAGCTTGCAGTAGCAGCTTCCTTTCATCTATAAATAGAAGAGATTTAAGTTCATTATGTACATTAGTTTGAATTCGAATAATATATAGTTTCTCTGTATACTTGTTTTTACTTTACGGTCTTTTATTTTATAACAAAATAGAACTTTTAAAATGGAATCAATCGGAGCTTTTTTGGTTTAAATTTGAATTGTAATTTTTAAATCCAAAAACAGAATTTTCTTTCATAAGCCAATCCGAACTGTCCATCCCTACCAAATACTGTATTTCATACCCAAACCACCCCTAACATTTGCTTACAAATACAATTGCGTCCTATATCACACAATCCTCCAACCTCCGCCGTGAAATTCGTCGGAATCTATCTACCAGAATATCGCCTGAGATTTTTCCGATTATCGAAAAACGGCTATAAAAAAGATAAGTTAAAAGAGATAAGAAGGGAAATCTCGCGTTGAAGAATGGGGAAGAAACGGAAGTCGCTAGCAACGAGCCTCGATGAGGTGGATCGAACCATGTATTCAACTTTCTGTAGCGCTGCCAACTCCCTTTCTCAGCTTTATACTCAAGCTATGAACCAACAGAAACTCTCTTTCCTTTCCGGTGAACGTCACGGAATGGTATTTTTACTTCCTTCTTTGTTTGGTTTCTTAGTATATGCTATAAATATTTGTTTTTTGTTTGTTTTGTAGTTTTATGCTTAATTTGGTATCTAGGGATTGCCTTATGTTTTTCTGTCTGAGTTCTAAGGTATAGCTGGTCTCAATAAAGGAATAGAGTTGCTGGGGGATGAAAGCCCATAGGAAAATAGTGCGGAAAAATTACTTTAACTATGAGGATTATTTACTCAACACCAACTAGTTTGGGTTGATACATTGTTTTTACTTTTTTTTTTTTTGGGTATACTTTTGGAATTTGAACTTTGTCTGTGTAACCTTTGTGAAGTATAGTGGGTCCCGTGTAAAGGAGGAGGATTGCAGTTCGAATAGAGGCTACACTATGTGAATTTTTCCTCTGGCTGAGCCATGATGCGAAGAGGAGTTAGTTACCTAAGTCCTTTATTGGTGGGAGGTAGCAAGTGCTTGAGGTGAACACAAGCTAGCTCAAACACAACCATTATATAAAAAGAGCAGGATTCCAAGTTCCATTTCTGTACTAAACTTCAGACCTTGTGCTCCCATTCAGCTACATCAGAAGTAAGGAATTCTTATGGGATTAGCTTGCTTAAGAAGGTAATAAAAGAAAACATGTTTTATGGTGTATAGGAATAAGAGTAGGAAATGGTATAAGGATTTGGTTGGGAGAAAAGTGTGGTGGAACAGCTCTAGAGGAAGCAGTCAAGCCGAATTTGAAGTAGTGATTAGCATGACGCTATAGTGTCTGACGGTTTAAGTAGCGAAATCCATAGCAAGGTCCGATAATCAGAGGAGATTGCGGAATCTCTTCACAGGTGTATGACTGGCCTATAGGAGGTGAGGGGATGATAGGATAGTATGGGGGAAGAAGAGAAAAGTCATCTATCTAAAATACATACTGTATTAACTATCCTGAGATGGAGAAAGGAAACAGTATGGGATACCAAGGCACCTAAGGAAGTAGATTTCTAGTGGTCTATGGTGCAAAATGCAAGTTTAGCAGCAGATAATTTAAAGAAAGAGGATTGCATTCTGTTGCATTGCATAGCTGTGGAATCTAGCACTTTTCTTGTTTGATATTAGGTCAATAATGTCAAGCAGAGTAACAAACGTTATAAAATAATGTTAAGCAGAGTAACAAGGACAATCACTTGTTGGAGAATACGGAAGACCGAATAGGAGAACAAGGTAATTTGGAGAAGCACACCATTGTTGCAACTGTAATTAGCGGAATAGGAGATTATTCCATAATAGAGAGAGCATACCCGTGTACTTAGATGATTGTGTTGAGATGAGTGGATAACTTCATTGAAAATTGTGGTCGAGCTACTCTCTCCCTTTGTAAATACTTTTGATACCGTGGTGGTATGTAATCAATGAAATGATCTGACTTGTAAAAAGAAAAAGTGGTGCATGTGAACTTGATTAGACTGTACAACTATGAAGTTTTTCCTCATACTTATATGTAGTTATGGCTTCACATTAGATTGTGACTGCAAGTACTTTTGGTTTCTAAGCTTAAATTAAATGTTTCAGAAGGAAATGTTTCTTATTACCAAGGCTTCTAAATCTTTTTCTTGGAAGACACATGCTGTGTTATTTTTATATAAATGATCTACTTCCGTTTGTTGGGATTTTATCTTTTGGTGAATTCTAGTTGTTGCCCTTTTGACTGTGTATCATGATAACTAGCATACCATTGTTTTAATAGGAAAAACTGTACCAATGGATCTTGAGGCAACAAGAGGGTGGATCCAGAGTAACAACTGTTGACATACTGAACTACCTGCAGGTTTCTTTTCTATTATCTTGATTATCTACCCACCTATTTATGGTTGATATGTTTGATTTTCCTTTCATGTTTATTCTATGGAGCTTCATCTACTTAGCAATGAGCATATGAGATCCTTACTCTTCTTAGAAGTGCAATATAATCCTCAAAGCTTGATCATTAACTTTTTATAGTCAATGAATCTCCACATTATCCTTTTCCCAACCAAAAAAAAAAAAAAACAGAAAAAAATGAAGGAACAAAACGAATCATGGAGACTCATTCTTTTTTTCCAATCAGAAAGTGAGAACTCTTATGCATTGCTCTTTTGTCATTGGCGATATTGTAGATAACCTGACAAAAAGAACATTAAGTTTTTCTTGTATGTTAATCAAAATTTTCTTCTTGAAAATCTTGGACATAACTGATAACATGGTTCTGCTTGTGAATGGTTAGACTCTTCGGAGGTACGTCCTCAATTTCACTACTCGGGATCAAGAACATAGAATGTCCAAATCCGATTTTTAATTGACTTAAACTGAAAGAGGCAGATTTAAAGACCCGATATATAGAAACAGTCAATGGATTCAAAATTATGAAAAAAGGCTTAATGGAATTAAAGAACATGAGGTTTTTGTTTTACCCCAACTTTTTTTGGGACTGAGGCATAGTTGTTGTTGAGGTTTTTGTTTTTACCCAGATTATCCAGAATTAGTGCTGAAGTATAAATGCAGTAGGGACCTTTTGAGGTTCGTTGCAAATGCTTAATTGCTTCTAGGAGAGAGTGAGAAACCAGTGGCTTCTCTGTAGTTTTTGTGTGTGCAATCATTTGAGGTAAATACTGATTGAGCTTTAGAGCATGTGAGTCTTGTTGTTTCCGCATGCATTTGCCCAGATCTTTCAGCAAGTGAATGAATCGCGCAAGCAGAACTGGGACACTATGTATAGTAATGCGACTGACATTGATAGGTGGTCTTTGTGTCTCCAGTCACCACTGTCTCAAATTCAAGCTGACGAATTAGATTGTAATTTTTTTTAACGAATACAAAGGACTGTTATTGGAACTTGCTCTAGCTGGCCTTTAATCCAATGTTTCAGTCTGTAGTTCATAAATTCCTGCATAATGTTTGTGCAAAGTGACCTTAGATCTTGGCTTATCATATGAGGTGTGAAATTACTTTTACCTGAAAAGGCTAACAAAATGAGAATGAAATTTTATTGGAGTTCGGTGGAGGTAGTAGGAGCTCCCAAATTGCTTTTGGATAGACCGAGCTGGTTGAGTTACCTGGATATGCTCTTTCCGGAAAAGGTTGCATGAGGTTACTCATCCTTGTTGATTTATGACTTGGAGATGACTCAGTAAACAATCTTGCTGTTATTCTGTAGGATGGTTTGAAATTTTTGTGCGCTTTGTTATTATTAAGAAGGACCTTGATGTCATAAGCGTACCAGCACTTACCTTCCTTGCTATTTTGAAATCTTTCCATGATGATTTTAAGCCTGACATTGAATCCTATGATGTTGTATATGAAAAAAGAATGCCATGATGGCTATTGATTCTTCTTGGCAGTTGATGTTGAATTTTACATGACAGAGAAATTTGTATCAAAAGAGATGTGATACGGCCATCAATTAGCTCAACCTTACGATTAATTTATTTTTTTCCTTCTAGTCAAAGTTTTGGGGGCTTGTGTTTTCAAGAATTTTATTAATCTTGAATGGATCTTGTGTCTGTTTTATACATGGTGTATCTGTTAACCTGTTATCTTTGTGAGAGTTCTTTATTTGACATTAAATGATTACTGGATTATAGATTGCAAGAGCGCTCTTGATACATTTGATCTGATTATATTCCATTATTAGTTTTCATAGCGATGAGTCGGGTCTTCACAGAAATGGGAAACCATTGGCTTCTCAGGCTCTCAGCTATACTGAAACCATTGGCTTCTCAGGCATATGTTTAAGTTACTTTCCTCTAAGGCTTGATTTTTTTAATTAAATATATTTTTCTCAGATTCGATCTCTCAATATGCAGATTGGATAATTAGAATTTCTTTTTGTGGATATTATCTTTTTTTTGATAAAAAAAGTAGAACATTTTTAAGATTAAAAGAAATTGTACACTTGACCGGCCATTCTTGTTCATAATGGTTGAGAGCTATGTTGCGCGGACTCTCCAAAATAATGCCGCACCCTGTCGGATCCTCCAAAAATACACTATTTTTGGAGGATCCGACACCCACCTGGCAACATTTTCGCAGAGTCCGAGCAACATACGTTGAGAGATACCTTTTCATGCCACTAGGTCAAGAGTTCGAGCCTGGTACTCTGTCAAACAAAAAAAGAAATTGTACACTTGTTTTCTACATGAAATAAACTTTATGAAGTAGCGAAAGTTTCGCGTATGTATCTGTTTGATGTCAAATTGTTGAAGAAAAAAGAAGCAAAAAGGAAGAAAAAAGTGATGATGGTGGCTTAGGCTTGTTGGCCCTTCTTGGGTATAAGCTGTCGATATCTCGTTTTTTTTTGTAGTTTATAGATTAGAGCCTGATTTCCTGCTTTCTTCAAATCTTATTTAAGTATGTAATGTTTACCTACTGACTGCACTGAACTTATGGAAGATGGATCAGTAGTTTGCCTATTTCACCATTCTGGTTGTTATCTTTTTACAAAACCACTCCTGGTTTGACAACATCTGACAGCCCTGTTTTGATGTGTCTATGCATCTATGGATTTGCCAGTCCGAATTGGATTATAATGGAGAGGACCAGTCAATGTCGCCTAGGCCACCACCTCAGCATCAGCATTCCCAGCCGATGCATTTTGCAAACTCAGGCTTCCATGTCTCTCCAGGTCCAGTTGGCGTAGCAGCTCCAGGTCATGGCGTACGTTCTGATCATGATCAGCAACCAAAGAATAACGTTTTCTCAAATGCTCTTTCAAGTCCTGTTCGCCGGAGCTTACAGAATTATCACATTGCTCAAGGGGGTCAGTTTTCGAACAATGTTCAACCTCCCAATGGTACAAGACACATTGAAACAAACTCCCAACACCAAAATAGAGATTCTAATAGTTATATCTCTGCCGATGCATCCATGGATATGCATTCCGATAGTCCAGGTCATGACTCTACTTACTGATGAATTAATGTTTTGGAAGCTGCCTTTTGTCATGCCAGGGTGGTCAGACTGCAAGTTCAGGTAAATTGATGTATTCTGTCATGCAGATGTTATAGGAGAAAAAGTAGATTATGAGATTGGCTGCTTGCTGATAAGACTATAAGTGTCCAGACATCAATATCCTTGTGCACATGCTCATCGATAAAATGCTATTTGATGAGTACCATACCTTTTGAATACACTCCTGTTGTTTTTGGGACCAGCTAGTTAGTTTCCTTTGGGTCTTTTGTGATACTTATGAATTGTTTCATTATTTACCATACTATGTGATTGGTGTTAGTGTTGCTTCCTTGTGTTATGCCTTTGCAGAATGGAATATTTCTTAGACCAATTTGCCATTGATTCTCCAAGTTATGCCAGTGTAAAGAGAGAGAATCTTTGCAATCAAAGTGAAACTAGAGCATAATCCATATTCTAGACTATTTTAGGGCCTGACCCAGGTTTATTAGCTTGTAATTTATGCTGCCCTTATGCATTTGAGTTATTATTATTTGAGTAATTATCATTGTCCAAGGTCTTGTCCTCTCCAGTTTTTGAAGTCTCTTCCTTTCTATTAAATGTAAATGAGAATAACAAAACATTTTTTAGTAAGTGGAAAAGGTCTAAAAACCCCTAACCTATTCAATTTGTTTCATCATTGCTCTTAGTTAACCTATTGGTCCCCTAATGCCCTCACAGTTATTTCTTGGCTCATATTAAACTGTCCCTTTTAAGAGCTGAAATTGAGATGACATGACACTCTCTTATTGGTCCATATATAACCCAAGTTTGCATTAAATACCTGCCCGTCTATACATATATTTGGACAACCCATACAAATCCGTAATTTCTAACAAAAGCCCTGGCAGATCCTTTTCTCCATTCGCGTGACCTTCTTACTTCATCTAAGTAGAAGTTCTGCAATTCTGTCTTTTTTTTTTTCCCCCCTATTGAACAGAAAGCATTGAGATGTTACTGTAGGCATATAAATTTTATTGAAATTAAATCTATAAATAACATGGATTAATATTTTGAATAAATATTATGGACTAATATAATTGGGTTAATTATATAAGTTAAATAAATAAGTCTAAATTCAATGGGTTAGCCCATTTAATTGGGTTACAAATGATGAGCCCACTTCATTAGGTCCAAGATGTCATTTTCTAGAGGCCCAGTTTAGTGACACGTGTGAAATGACATGGCACGCCAAGTCAAATGGAAGAGCCAATAGGATCATGTCAAAATGACAAGGCATGCCAAGTCAAAATACTACGATTGTTGCAATATTTTTCGGTCTCGATTATTTTCTTAACGCAGTTTTATTGCCTAGAAATTTTGGCATGCCTAGTGGGATAATCTCTACCTCTCATCTCAACTTTTCAATCATCAAAATTCAAGAACGACGAAATGGATTCAAAGAAAATCAACTCCAGATCAACTTCCACCATGGCTGCTAATTCTAGGTTCTACGTTGATGTAGAAAATATCCTTGATATTACCTTTGGAAGCTTTGGACCAGTTACATAGAGCAAAGCAAGCTCTTTAGGACGACAAGCACTCCAAGTGCCATCCGCATCAACCCCTGTTTTCGGATATTCATCCTCAACGAACGCACTTGAAGGAGAAAGTAATGTTGCTGAAAAAATTAAGAAACCTCTAGCTTCGCTTAACCTCTTAGGATCCAAGAACTATGTTGTGAAGGAAGATGATGGTACTTCAAGTGACGGATCCTCCCCACTTACACCACATAGCATGAGCCAATCGAGGATCAATCTATGTGATAATCCATGCTACTCTCCGTCGTCCACAACGATCATGCAAATAATGATGACGAACGCTTCATCTGTGGAAGAGCAGTTGGCAAACCTGACAGAAGCAATTGCTGGCTTGACCAAGTGCATGCAAAATAAATATGCTAGAATTGACAAGTTGACAGGTAAAGTGGGAATTTTGATGGAAGAAGAGTCCGGCCATGCACCTGGCAAGCTCCCAGATGTTCCAAGGAATGATCCTCCCCCAAGACAAGTAGCATCTGCTAAGGCTATCCTTGTCTCATCTGAAGGTATGATTCCAATCGATCAACTAAAGGAGTTCATCAAAGGGACTATCAAAAATAAGTATGAAGTTGCTTCCAAGTCTTCTCTTACATACGCAAAGCCATACACTGCAAGGATCTATATGTTGAATATGCCTACTGGCTATCAACCTCCAAAGTTCCAACAGTTTGATGGCAAAGGCAATTCAAAGCAACATGTGGCGCACTTCGTTGAGACATGAAACAATGTTGGGACTTATGGAGATTACCTCATCAAGCAGTTTGCCCGCTCGCTAAAAGAAAATGCTTTTGATTGGTATACAGGCCTCGAGGCTGGATCTATTGATAGCTGGGATCAACTAGAGCAAGAGTTCCTCAATTGCTTTTGTAGCACAAGGCGCACTGTGAGCATGGTGGAACTTACAAATACTCGTCAACGAAAGGGTGAACCAGTTATCGACTTTATCAATCGTTGGAGGAATACAAGCCTCAACTGCAAAGACAAGCTTAGTGAAACTTCTGGCATAGAGATGTGCATCCAAGGCATGCATTGGGGATTGCGCTACATCTTGCAAGATATCAAGCCTAATACATTTGAAGAACTTGCAACTCGTGCCCATGACATGGAATTGAGCATGGCCTCTGCTAGAAATGAAAGACTGACATCTATGAGCCTCGCGAAGGAAACGACAAGCAAGAAGTCAGAAAATGGAGCAAGTTCGTACTAAAGTCTGAAAGCAAAGAAGCACTCTGAATGTCAACATATCACCTGTGAAGTTCACAACAAAGATGAGCAAGAAGCAGAGTACGAAATCCACTTCTTTTCAAAATAAACTAAGTGAAAAGTTAACTCTAAAAGAAATGCAAGAGAAGGAGTACCCATTTCTGGATTCTGATATCCCTGCAATTTTTGAAGAACTCCTTGAGCTAAAGCTCATTGAGCTTCCGGAGATGAAACGACCAAATGAAGCTGAGAAAATTAATGATCAAAATTATTGCAAATATCACCAACTTGTGAGTCACCCTCTTGATAAGTGCTTTGTCTTCAAGGATAAAGTTATGAACTTGGCTCGTGAAAAAAAGATCGTGCTTGAAGATGAGAAGGTAAGTGCTAACCAAGTCTCTATCACCTTTGCCTCATTCTATCTAGATGAGTTATGCAGTCTTGAAGAAAGTAAACAAATAAATATTAGAGAATAACAAAGTCGAAGTTGATCAACTTAATGATGATGAAGGTTGGACGTTGGTGACTCGTAGGGCCACAAAAGAAGCCCACGAAAAGAATTAGTAGAACAACCAATAAGGAAAATGATGGTAAAAAGACCAAAAAAATAGAATCCAGTTAAGCATTTGAGGAAAGCGAAAGTGGAGGTACACCACCCTCAAAAGCCACGACATCCAGTGACATTGGAAGAGTTTTTGCCAAGTTGGTTCCGCACAAAGATTTTTCATGACGGTATCGAGGCCTCCTGTTGCAATGCTGATAAAGGAGAAGAAATGAGTAATGACTTACGCTTAATACCATCTTCGGGAAATCCCATTGAGTCTATTCCTCAGGAAGTTAATGTTTGCGAGGAAAAGGTCACATTCATGCATGATGACCTTCTACTAGGTGACACTCCACATAATCTTCCATTATACATGGTTGGTTATAGGCACGATGAAAGGGTAAATCGAATTTTGATTGATGGAGGATCCTTAGTAAAACATCTTGCCAATTATGAAGGAACTTGGCATTCCCGTGGATGAAGATGGGTATAATCCTAATGAGCCGTCAAAATTAGGGAAGCTAATGTCAGAAACTACTTCAAGGCAACCACGTGAAGGTCTGGGATACATGCTACCATCAGCCATTCGCATCTCTATAAAAAGGCAAACAATAATCATATCACTACGGAAGATGAAACCTGGCACTTCCAATAGGCCTTCCGTCTTTGATCAACTTGAAAAATCAACTGTGAGGACTTCCATATTTGAGATAGTAGGTCCACTGAAGAAGAAGAACAAATTCCAAAGAGATCATAAAAGCATAAGAACACCCGCTTCGCTAAGAATCCAGAAGATCTCTAAGGATTTCCAAAGTTTGGTTCCTTCTAGAATAAGGCAACAAACAAAACTTCTGGTTTCATGTAAAGAAGTACTGAAGATAAAGCCATATACTATGGTCTACACTAAGAAACGTGATGAATACGAAGAAAGTGTAGGTTCTTCGTATCATGTTACTACACAAGGCGAGCATGGTATTTCATCTCTAGTGGAGGATGATGAGAAATTGAAGAATGTTTCACCGTGTTATCATATATCCTTTAACCACAGGGACCCTCAAGTAGATGAAGAGGAAAAAGATGCTCCACCTAAACTTGAAGAATGGGTAAAGACAGCAGTTGACGCTTTGAAAGAAGTAAACCTGGCACTGACGAAGAACCGAAGCCCACTTATCTAAGTGCTTTACTAGCAGTCGATGAAGAAAGCACATATATTGAGTTACTCAAGGAGTATATGGATATATTTTCTTGGAGTTATAAAGAGATACCTGGCTTGGACCCAAAAGTAGTAGTCCATCACCTTGCTAGTCAAGAATGGTGATCGTCCTGTTAAGCAAGCTCAAAAATGCTTTAGGCCTGATTAGGTTCCCTTGATTGAAACCGAAGTTGAAAAACTCATCAAAGCTAGCTTTATTCGTGAAGTTAAATTCCCAAAACGTGTTTCAAGTATTGTCCTTGTAAGGAAGAAGAATGGCTAGATTCGAGTGTGCTTTGACTTCAAGGATCTCAACAATGCGTGTCCCAAAGATAAATTATTTTCTATTCTAGAGCTGATGATCGATGCTACTACTGGTTTTGAGGCGATGTATTTCATGGACGGTTCATCGGGCTATAGCCAGATCTGCATGGCACCAAAAGATGAAGAGCTTATTGCATTCTGCACCCCTAAGGGTATTTATTGCTACAAGGTAATGCCTTTTGGCTTGAATAATGCTGGTGCTACTTACCAAAGGGCTATGCAGAATATTTTTGATGACCTTCTCCACAAGAATGCCGAATGCTACATTGATGACTTGGTGATAAAATCAAGAAAGAGGAACGACCACTTGAAATACTTGAGAATGGTGTTTGAGTTGCTCCGGAGGTACCAACTTAGGATGAATCCATTGAAATGCGCCTTTGGAGTTACTTTTGGAAAGTTCTTTGGTTTCATTGTTCGGCATCGAAGGATCAAAATTGATCAAGCCAAAGTAGATGCAATTTTGATAATGCCTGAGCCTCGGGATATTCATG